TGAGCTGACCATGAAGCTGAGCGTGGAGGACGTACTGACAAGGGCCGAGGCCCTCTACCGGCAGCTGACCGCCTGCACGGTGAGTCCCCCACCTTCCCAACAGCCCCACTCCCCGCCCCTCAAACTTCTGACTTGGCTTCCCCTCCCCACCCTCCAGGAGCTGCCCCACAACGTGCAGGAGGTCTTGGGCCTGGTCCCGCCCAAGGAGCCGCACAGCCCCTCGCCTCCCGCCTCCCCGCTGCCGCTGTCGCCCACCCGCACCCTGCCGGCCCCGCCGCTCCCCGCGGACGCAGCTGCGCAGCCGGACAGCAGCCTGGAGATCCTGCCTGAGGAGGAAGAGGAGGAGGGCGTGGGCTCCTAAGTTGCTGGGCTGGCCTGGCTGCGCGGCTGCACAGCACTTTATCCAGCTCCCGCCCCATGACCACACCCACGGGCCGGGGGTGGAGCCAGCAAAGGGGCGGGGCTCCCGCCCGGCCTCCCCGCCCTCCCGATTAGCTGGTTTCATTAACTGACATTTCTGTGTCCAGTTGGCCTCCTGTAGGTGTAGGAAGGGGAGGGGGTGGTGCGTGTTCCCCTCTGACCACTCTGCAGAGCAGGTGTTTGGCCGTGGACCCCAAACCCGGCCAATGAGATTAAGAGGAGGTCCCTTGGGGGTGAGTGGTGTGTGGGGGAGGGGCTTGTGGAGGAGTGAGGATGGGGTGCTGGGGTGCAGCCTTATGTTGTGCAGGGACACATCCTGGACATAACTGACAATGGAAGGGCCTACAGAGCTGCTCGTACACTGACGACCTGCCTACAGCGTTGTGGTACTTGAGGAAAATAAACTCGTGTTTGATCCACGGTTGGTCTGGCCTTTTGTTACTCGCATTGAGCCCACCTGTGTCGTCACCGTTGGGCGGGCCCTGAGATTACCATTGACCAGGGGGGAAGCAGCACCCGGGGCTCTGGGAGAGGCAGAGGCCCCTCTACCCCTGGCGCATGGCTTTGCTCAAAGCAAAGTGGGGAGGCGACTGAGCCAGGGAGGGGACAGGACCACAAGGCTTTTTCCGAAAATAATTTAATACTCGGGCGTCTGGCTGGTAGCGTTGGGAGTGGCTGTCCCGCGCAGGGTTGAAGGGTAGGTGGTCTTCGCCGTTTGAGACTTGCACAGGGGCTGGCAGTCCACGGGGCCCTCGGCCACGCGCACGGGCTCCTCGTCCTCCGTGTGCAGAGCCTTCTCCTTGTGCAGGGACTGCTCCTGGCTGTTGATCGGGCTGTGCGTCTGGCCGTTGATGGACACGGCCGCGCGCAGCGCCGACTTGACGGCTGTCTCCATCCAGCCGTGCGGGTAGGCAGTGTGCTCCCCCGCGAAGTAGATGCGACCATAGGGGTCCGTCCAGTCGAACTCCTCCCAGCCCTCCTTGGCTCGCCAGAGCGTGGGCGGCTGCACCACGAAGCCGCCCTGGCTGTGCGGGTCCTCTGCCCAGC